AATCACCCCCTCCCAACTTATTTTCAATTTTCGTCATGCACTGTAATTTTGTTTTAGTAACCCCACAATACATTACTGAAGTGTTAATAACTCTATAATACATTACTAAAGTGTTATTTACCATGAATATTTCTTTACATTTACTCATATATTTATACTTACTCATATATGGGCTAACTATTATTCTTTTATTTCAGAATTCCTTCTGAGCTCATTTTCCTTGTATCTGAAGTATATCCTTTAAAAACTTTTCAGGTAGGATCTGTCAGTAGCAAACTCAGTTTTGTGTCAGAAAATAGCTTCATTTTACCCTAGTTTTGAAGGAATTTTTTAAATTGAATGTACATGTAAAAGTTGTTCTTTCTCTCAGCAATATGGAAGATGTTATTTCATGGTCTTCTGGAATCCACTATTGCCACTGGAAAGTCTGTGTTGTTATTCTAATTATCATAAAATTTTAGGTAGTCTATCTTTTCTGACTGCCATAAAGTCTTCTCGTTGTCTTTGCTTTTCTATGGTTCCATGATATGTCTAAATGTGAATATTTTTGTATTTATTTTACTTTGGACAGGTTGACTTCCTGAACCTGAGAACTGGTGTCTTTCAGCAGTATGGGAACATTTTCAGTCATTTCTACTCAAATATTGCTTCTGCTTAATCCTCCTTCTATCATCACCATTTGGAATTCTAAGACATTAGAACCTCCTTCTCATTTCTACATGCCTCTCAACCTCTTTCTTTCATATTTTTTTCTTTGTCTTCCCGGGTGATTTTGAATAATTTCTTCAGCACTATTTTCCAGTTTACTTAGTTTATCCTTTAATATCCATCTAGCTGTTTAATCCCTCCACTAAGCTTTTAATTTCCATTTTTATGTTAGTCATGTTTGAAATTCTATATTTATCCTAATATGACTGGTCTTTTTATAGTCTCCTGCTTCTTACTCATATTTCAATCTCTTTTAAAAGTTATTAAATATACAACTTATATCCTATATCTGATAGATTTAATGCTTGAAAACTTTGTAGATCAAATTTGGCTGTCCAATGCTTTTGCTGGTGTTTGCCTTTGGTTCTTTTTCCATTGTCTGCTTTACGATTAAAAAAAAAAAAAAGAAAACACCTTGAAATAACATTCCTTGGAACACTAGCTAGGAGAAATTTTGTGGCCTGGGTCTTTCTCAGAAAGGATTTGTATACACTTTTGCAGATGCCTAAAAACTTCCAACAACTTTAAGCTAAATTTTCCTCTTGAGATTCTCTGGACCTGAAGTATTTTGATTTTAGATGATAGGCGCAAGTGAGGGGCTCACAGAGGAGAAATTTTCTTTTCTTCCTGGCCCAAGATTGAGACAGGCAATCTTCACTCTAATGATGAAAATGTGGGTGGGAGTAGTTCTAGCCCATCTTTATGTTCAGATAATCGGCCTTTGCAGTCCCTGCTTTATGGGAGATAAGGGGTAGGGGTTGTTTTATTAGTCTCTTAATGTTGGTTAAGCCTTGTGCTTTGTCGTTCAGTCATGTCTGACTCTTTGCAACCCCATGGACTGTCGCCTGCCAGGTATCTCTGTCCATGGGGATTTTCCAGGAAAGAATACTGGAGTGGGTTGCCATGCCCTCCTCCAGCTTAAGCCTTAGTCTTTGTGTCCTGTCCTCTGTATACTCCATGAAACTGGGATATCATAAGCTTCAAGTTACCAGGTTCTTCTGATATAATGGACTCAAGCTTTCTCTGGTTCCTACTTTCACTTAGGTTTTGGTGTTTGTATTGATTTCCTTGGGTTGTTATAACAAAGCATGGCCAACTGAATTATCTAAAACTACTGAAATGTACTCTCTTATAGTTCTGAAGGCTAGAAGTCTGAAATCGAGTATTGGTAGGCAATGCTCTCCCTAAAGCTCTAGGGGAGGATCCTTCCTTTCCTTGTCTAGCTTCTGGTAGCCGCAGCATTCAGTGGCTTGTGGCATCTTAACTCCAATCTCTGTCTCCATCTTCACATGGTCATCTTCCCTCTGTGTCTGGGTCCAAAGTCTCCTTCTTTTATAAGGACACCAGTCATATTGGAGTAAGTCCCGCCCTGACCCAGTATGACCTCATCTTAACCTGATTACATCTGTGAAGGTTCTACTTCCAAATATGATCATATTCACAGGTACAGAGGGCTAGAATTTCAACATGTTCTAAAGGAGATTCAATTCAACCCATAACAGTTCCTAGCCACTTCTTAATTCCTTGCCAGCTCCTGAATTCTTTCATATATATTCTAGTATTTTATAGCCATCATCAGTACAATCTTTCTGTCTTCTATTCAATGTCAGCTCTTATTTCTCACTCTTTTCATTCTGCTTGCCCATAGCAGTTCCCTTCTTTTTTCCCCCACTGAGTTGTGGACTTAGAAATTGGGGAAAACATTACTTATTAGAATTGAGCGCAAAATAAGAATAAGGTTGTAAATGAGGACTCTGTAGACACAATTGTGTAAAGTAGAAGAAAATTACTGCATGGACACTGTAATACTCTTTGGGGAATGCACAAAGAACATTTATTCCTAGATCACTGTGGTATATCTAGCTAGGCTTTTGAATCATAAAGACCTGAGGGCGAATCTTTTCTCTACTTCTTGTAAGTCATATGACTTTGAGAACATATTACGTAAGCTCTTCATTTCACAACTTCCCCATCTGAAAAAGGGGGTATTATGATAACAGCTATGTTTTAGGGTGCTTTGTAGATGGATGATATAAGTTAAGTGCCAGACCAAGTATTGAATAATTGTGCAAATGACTGTTTCTGTGTGCCGGATGGGTAAGGACTTTGAATAAGTTGCCTCTGAATAACTGAGGGGAGGAAAGCAATGTCTCTAACTTTTTTTTTTTAACCACACGGCATGTGAGATCCAAGTTCTATGACCAAGGATTGAACCCAAGTTAATTCAAATTAACTAGCTTCTGTCCTCAGCTCTGCCAGCCAACAAGTTGCTTGGTACCTGCTTTAAAAAACCACCTTTCCTTCAACTCCATGACACTTCACCTCTGTCAAACAGGAGGGAACAGAGAGGAAAAAAAAAAGCCAGGCAACATTTTGTATTGTATTTTACACCCCCAGCACAAAACCCCCAAATTTTAAACAAGTATTTGAAAACCTCACCCAGGACCACACTCCAGAACAGCTTTATATTAATAATCTAGGCAGGAAAAGCCAGAAATCTCCCACCACTCTGTGATTGACTCACATATATGTTGGAGGCAGAGTTCACAAATCTAATTCCTTTCTCCATTCCCGGACATTTTTACCCAGAAAGCCTAAGTGACTAGAGGCGGTTCTGCCTGCTCAGCCAATTCTCGGCAGCAGCTTCTAGTGAAAAAAATATTATGTTTGGGGGCAAGCATCTATCCAGGAGTGTGCGGAAATGAGATGGTGAGGACGCAAATGGTGAATAAATGACCAGTGTAGGGACAGCAGAGGAATGAGGGCGATTATGCAGGCTCTGTCCTCTATGAATACATTAGCTCCCCAACGAACCCATGTATCTTGACTGCTTCCAAAGCAATTTCTTTGGGTTTCAGTGAATACAGGTGTCTGGAAGTATTCTCTAAGCTTGGCTTCAGACAAGCCGCTCCAGCCTCCAGAACTTAAAGCCCTAGCATTAAGTCTGGGTGACCAGTCAGGCCGATGCAGCCTGCCAGGCCATTGTAGTTGCTGTGAGATGCTCATTGGAGATGCCCAGTCTCCTGTCATGAAAGGGCGAGGGCTGTCCAGTGCCAGCTGACTGCCCAGTGGGTAGTGGGGATGGCTGAGGAGGGTTATCCAGGCTGGAGTCCTTGAGTGGAAACGGGAGCAGGAGCAGGAGATGGCCAGATACAGACACCGAGGTCAAAGGGGCAAGAGTGGGGTTGCTGGTGGGAACCAGGCAGATGCCGGGTGGCCTGCATGGAGGGTTGGCAGTGAGGGGGAACAGCTCGGACGACGGCCATGAACACAGCAGGTATGAGGGCTGGCCAGGGACTGGCAAGCCTGTAATGCGTGTGTGCCACCTGCTTAAAGATCCCCAAGGAGAGGACAGTGGCACCACAGTGGGGACAAGTCCAGCTTACACACTGCTTTTTTCAGGAGGAGAGAACCACAACCTGGACAGAGCGGTGGTCTTCCCTTTCTAGGGCAAGGTCCTTCCTTGTATCCCTGATCACATTTCTGTCATCTGCCAAGGGATCAAATGTGTCTCTCAGCCATGGGGAAGGGTTCCTTTTAGAGTTACCTTTTTATAGTTATCTTTTCAGAGAAAAGGGGTCAGTGCCTTGGAAACGTTCCTATATGATGAGAAAATAAATGGTGCCTAGTGTGGATTCACACCACACATTGACAGCTGCAAAGGGCCCTGTACTCTGGGGCGGGATGGTGGATATCTCTGGAGAGTGATGTGAGGCACGTGCCTGCCTGAGGGTCTGACCACAATGTGGTGGGTCGGGAACCTGCATGCAGTGAGCCTGGCTGTGCTTTGCTATTTATACTCCATGAGTTTATTTCTCTGTGGCACTCTCTTGACAAAGTCTTTAGGAAGCTTCTGTGGGCCACTGTGGAGGAGATGGAGAATAACAGAGAAACCCCGAGGGGATGTGACAGTGAAGAGAAGAGACTCTGAGGGTCCCTCCTGTTTACCTCTCTATTCCTGGGGCTCCCTTTTGCTCACTCCCTGAGAAACCTGCTTTTGGTTTCAACACAGAGGTTTATTTCCTTGATTTGGGAGCTCAACTCACTCATGTCCCCATCCCAGCCAAAGCAGTTTCTGATGTTCTTTTCTTCCTGAAAATTCTATAGGTCCCAACCTGTGTCTATACTCCATCCCCAGCAGCCCTGATCACATATGCATGGGCCAAGGTTAGGGACTGGACGTTCAGTATCAGTCCCGCACCGTCAACCCTGAGCCAAATTTCTGCACCCCCTGGACTCATTCACCCAACGGGGAGCTGAGCCAAGCCTTCCTGGTGAGAAACCCTGCTCACCCTGATCCCGAGCTCGACATTTTCCCCTCCGTAGACCTCCATGCCTTCGTCCAGCAAGCCAATCTCCTGGAAGTACTGCCGGTCCACAATGAAGCAGCCAATGAGGGCAGGGCTCCTGCAGGGCATGGAGAGATGGTGGGCAGTTAGCAGAGGGGCCATCTCCTGGGGGTCAACAGAGCAGGAAGAGCAATGCTGACTTCCTGCCAGGAGGGTCTGGCCTTCTCCCTTCCTTTGCTGCCAAAACTAGTGTAAGCCTCGTTCTCTGAGTGGCCCTCCCAGGTCCTCCTCACCAGCTACTCCAGGGAGCCTATTCCACGAGGACAGAGGCAGACAGCTCCTGTCCTGCGACCAGCCGTCATTTCTGGTGGTGCCTGCCTGTGTGTCAACCAGAGAAGCAACGCTCAGCCTGCCAGTCTCGACCGCACGTCCGTATCTCTGGCTGTCCTGAGCCCTGCATTTTGAACCACATAGCTGGTCTCTGTTGCTGCCTGTTTACCCACAACGACTTTCCCACCCTTCACCTTGGTCCCCATAGAGAGATGAGCTGGGGCTTTGGATAGCACAGCAAATCATTTGGATTTTATCTGTGGATAAAGGAATGTCAACGAAGAATTTTAAGTAGACAGTGGTAATAAGCAGATCTGTATTTGTAAAAAGAATACTTTGGCAGCTGTGGGGTGATCGATTGGAGGAGATTGGGTAGAAATCGAGGAATCCGGTTGGGAAGCTTATTGCTATATCCAGGTGAGCAATGATGAAGACCTGGGCTGGAGTACCAGGAATGGACATAGGGATTGTTTAAAGACATATATTGAGGTAAAATCAGCAGCATTTGGAGACAGATGAACTCTGAGGGTGAGAAGGAGGAATCTGGATGCCAGCTGGCCTTCTGCTTGGGTGATGATGGGGTGAAAGCCGTTGATAGGTGGATGGAGAAGAAGCTGGTTTTAGAAGGAAGAGGGATTCCATGCTGGGAAAACTGATCTTAAGGTGCCTGTGGGTCACCAGGGGGAGCTATCCAACAGGCAGGGCCTAGGTGGCTGGTCTGGGTTGGAATTCAGCAGGGGTCTTAGGCTGGAGCAACACGCCAACAGCTGGCAAGGCCAGGAACTGAAAGGCCTTTCCTAGTAAGCGTGATTGCGGGGCTCATGGCTGTGTACAGACACCCAGCACAGACTGTCACAAGGAGATTTACATTAGGTGAATCAGCAAGAGGCTGAGTGGGCTGCTTCTCTGCTGAGAGCATCATCTTACACAAATAACATGAAATTGTTCCATTGCACACTGCTACCTCTTCTAGCCCCTGTGTAGCATCTTATCAGCCGGTGGCTGAGGAACTGGAGGGGAAGAGAAAGAAAAGGAGAAATGAAGAATACTCAGTGATGAGAAAACTGTCACTCAAATGCAAATAGACTCATATTTTAAATTGGAAACTCATTAAGGTGGAGAAACAGCTATTTTGCAAGCCATTTCTTTGGAGAATGCTGATGTAGGAGGCTGCTTGGGGAGAGACTGGTGCCTTGGGGTCCCTGCCCCTCCTGCTTTCAAATTCAGTCAATCAGTTCATTCACTCAGTCATGTCCAACTCTTTGTGATCCCATGGACTGCAGCATGCCTGGCCTCCCTGTCCATCATCAATTCCTGGAGTTTACTCAAACTTATGTCCATTGAGTCAGTGATGCCATCCAACCATCTCATCCTCTATTGTTCCCTTCTCAAATTACAGCCTTCTATTCTGAAAGGCCTCAGCTTCTGCATGCAGGCATCCAGGGCAGTCAGTACACCCCAATCCATTGCTCCTTTAGGCTGAGTTCTGGTGGGGGATGCTTGACCTGCCCTTAGAGGTGAGTGCTAGGGGAAGGGTTTCCCATCCTGGCTGTGCATCTCTGAAAGAAGTTCCCTAGCCTCCCTGAGCCTCTGATTCCATATCTATCAAATAGAATCAACTATAACCTCACAAGGATTAAATTAAATAATGTAAAGCACTTGAAAACCTCTGGGACATAACTGGAACTCAAAAGATCATTTTTAAAAGATGCAGTTGCACATTGAAGAAGCCCAGAGAATCCCCTCTCTAAGCGCACAGTGATTTTAAAACATCGACCCTGCAGAGTTAACTCCCAGCATTTTCCTTGATGTTACTGAAGTGTTGAGCAGGGCAGGGCATTCCAGGATACAAAGGAGGGAGCCTTCCCCTCATGGCCAGGCCCAGTCAAAGCAAGAACAGAATCTAAAATAGTTTCTCTGGGAAAAGCACAGGCATCCTCAGTCTATTACTTATTAACTGGCTAGGGTATTCAGTGGACCCACTCAGCCTGAAAGTGTTATTGATTTATATCTTGCCTCATTCCCAAAAGGGTTAGAAATAGTTTATAAGAAAAAGTAAAATACATTGTAAAAAAAAAAAAAAAAGATAAATGTCTGAAAAGCTAAAATTTCACCCCAAGTTAGGGATCAGTTAGAATGCATGAGTCTTCTTCAAGGTTCTTCAAGTAGACCCACAAAGTTGACCCTAAACTTCTTGGTGGCCAAAGAGAAACACACATGGCCTTAGAAATAAGATTCAGAGTTCCCATGTGGAAATGTTATACTAATTTCTCAGGAATAGAAAACTTTCAGTTTGAAAGAAATTTCTCATGTCAGTCCTCTTAAAGAGGTCACTTTGAGATGTAGTGAACACCAGTCTCAAAGCCATCCCTTTAGAACTCAACAGAAGATCTCTCTGGGCTCTGTTAACAGCTTACATCATGTGTGGGCAAAGCATTAAAGTATAGCTCTGAGGAATAGGAGCCAAGGTGGGCAAGATACATGTGTATAACCCACAGCTTGCTGTGAGGCATCTCCATCTTCCTATGGGGTATAAAATCAAGAATGTTCTTTCAAAGTCTTCCATTAATATAATTTAAAGTTAAATTTTTTAAATTAAGTTTTGTACTGGAGTATAGTTGATACACAATGTTGCATTAGCTTCTGTTCTACAGTCAGTTATGTACACTTATATACCCACTTTTTTAGGTTCTGTTACCATACAGGTCACTACAGAGTGCTGAATGGAGTTCCCTGTGCTATGTGTGCATGCATGCTCAGCCACTTCAGTCGTGTCCGATTCACTGTGACTCCATGGACTCCTTTGTCCACAGTACTCTCCAGGTAAGAATACTGGAGTTGATTGCCAGGCCCTCCTCCAAGGGATCTTCCCCACCCAGGGACTGAACCAGCATCTCTCATGTGTCCTGATTGTCAAGTGGGTTCTGCACCACTAGCGCCACCTGGGAAGCCCTCCTTGTGCTAATACACAGTTCTTATTAATTACTTACTTTATATATAGTAGTGTGTTTATGTGAGTCCCAATCTCTCAACTTATTCCTCCCTCCTCCTTCTTGTTTCAGTTAAGTTTTTGATAAAGATTAGGTGATGGAATATTTGAGGTTCAGATGATATTCTCTGTCAAGAACCTAGAATGCAGGTTTAATGATTAAGTCCAGGCTGATACATTTAGAGATGAGAGGAGCAGAAGCAGCTAGTACCAGTGCAGACTTCGGCAAGAACGCTCGATATGTGAAGGTCTATTTCCCACCAATAGCAGTCAACAGACCTGGGGGTAGAATTCAGCCACACCAGCTCAGTGCCTGGGAGGATGAAAGTTAGGCGTGGAATCTAGCTGATCTGGGTTTGGATCCTGTCTTCACTGGCTGGAGCCTTTGGCAGGGCCATTCCCCTTTGTCAGTCTCTCTTTCCTTATTTTGTAAAAGGGGAATGACACAGTGAGCCATCCCCAGGTTATGACAAAGAACAGATGAGACCACATGTGTAAGAGGCCCTTGCACATGGTGGCCTCTCAGCAAACATTTATTAATAACACAGAAGTGTGTCACAGGCCTAACAGATAGGTGACAGAGACAATGCAGGAAAGATAGGTGGAGTTCTCTTCCATCTTGTTTTAAATATAAATATGGCTTTTTTCTTCTGGCAAGGGAAAATGCAACCCCAGATAATAATCACCCATTTTCAATTATATTTTTCATAATCTTTCTCCCTCACAAAATACAAAGCAACATCAGTTTCTAATCTCCTCTTTCATTCCAGGAACTGTCCCCTAGGCCACCTTCTGATGCCGTCTGTGTATTTAATGGCCAGGGCTTTGCAGGGAACATAAAGGCACCTGGTCAGTGATTAACCAGGTAGAAATAAAGGCTGGTATGGCTGGCGTTTTCAGGAGTCCTGACCCATAAGGTAAAGGCCACACAGAGGAGTCACTTGAGCGTCTCTAAAGGCAGCAGCAAAGACAGAGTTTGGGATCTTAGGATGGCAGTTTGAAGCCACTTTGGACTGAGTCCTGCAGGGTAAGTTCAAACATCAGCCAGGCATACAAGTGCCATGGGGTGAGCCAGCCCTGTTGCCTGGGGCTGCCCCCTCCCTGTTCTCCTTCCTTCTGGACCCTCTGAGCCTCCTCTGTGTCCATGAACTCACTCTGCCCCTGTGAATATGAGTGTCCTTGCTCCAACCTTGCAATCTCCTACTTTCCCGTGAAAACAAGTGTGAATATTACACTCTCTATAAAGGAGCCCACCCCCATACTTCCCATCAGCATAGGGAATAATTTGTTATTCCAGTTATTTTGTCTGTCTTCCCTATATTCCAGGTTTTTGAGGGCAGAAACCAAGTAGTGATCACTACAGATCCCCAGCACACAGCACAGTAGCTGGCACCCAGCAGATGTCCCACAGCAATGTGTTGAAATGAGTAACTTTGAGCCTTTGAATGGGTTCTGGATGCCACAGCATTTTTAAAAGGGATCATCAGTATGTATACCTATGGGTGATTCATGTTGATATATGGCAGAAACCAACACAATATTGTAAAGCAATTATACTCCAGTTAAAAATAAATAAATTTAAATTTTTAAAAAAGAGATCACAGAGGCTGTAAGCTGTGACTGAAGGTCATTTCTCTCCACCACCCCATCGTGCCCCATAATGGGGCTGGAGCTTGGGGAACGAGGGTCAGGCTGGGCAGGGAGCCCTTGTCTGGAAGTCAACACAGCGAGACTCATCAGATAAGAATACATTACCTGATCGGGGCCGTGGAGTTCTCCAGCTTCCACCAGGCCTTGGGGGGGTTGAGGTAGCGGCACCACAGCTCCCAGTCAAAGCCCTGGGCCGCCAGTGGGTACTCTTCTATCTCAAAGTTGTCGTATTTGATGTTGTCAAAGGATGGGGAGATGATCCGTTTCCGGTTCTCCTTAATGCGGGTGAGCACGGGTTCAGCCCTGGGCAAGGAGGAGGGGGAGGGAGATTGGCACCTTCTATAGCTCCTTCCCCCGCAGAAGGAGGAAGGGACTGCTGGCTCTCTCCTCCTGCTCTGCCTCCCACCCCCACACTGCTGGGTTACACGAGGCTGGCCTCCTCATTAAGCGTGAAGCAGGCTGAGCGGACAGATTCTTAGTACCTTAGATCCTGATGTCTGCTTGGTTTCCTTTACTCCATTAGAGGAAAAAAACAGAAACCAAGACTCAAGAAAGAAGAAAGAAACAGTTCTGAGGTTCCACGGGAAGCTTTCAACTTGGGCTTTGATTTTGCTAAAATTCAGCGTGTCACCCAGGAGGAAAAAGCAGATGAGGACGGCTGACACACGGAGGTGAGAACAAAACTGTCTCCACCCATCATGCGATGCTTCTTCAGTCTTTTCAGGCATGCCACCCCCACCCCACGCATCCCCACTGCCCAAGGAGAGGTGGGGGGGGGGGGTTACGCTTCCACAGAGTCCAGAGCCCTTGTGGGTACCAGGCGAATAAAATGTTTGCAGACAGGAATGATAAGCTTCTCATTAATAATGCATTTTTTGCATAATTGTTTATTCAAATCTGCTTGAAATAGTAAGTGTCCCTCTCTTCTCCTGGCCATAAATCCAATGAAAATGCTTTCTAAACAGTCACACATGAAAAGCAGGAACTTCAGCTATAAAAAAATGACTGCATTGCAGCCTTAATTCCGACCCGTTATGTCAAAGTATGCTCTGTGCATGCCTGCTGTTCCCTCCTGCCAGAGGGCCCTCCTCACTCTACTCTGGGGAGGCAGAGGGTGATGCTCAGAGTTCAGGAGGGACAGCAGACCCCAGTGCCACGAGGCATAGTGGCTAAGAAGGTGATACACTCGGCCATCCCCAGCACCCGGGTCACCCCACGGCCAAGCTCTCTGCAAAGCCAACCCCAGTGGACCACACAGCATGCCCTTTGCCCTGCCGGGATGTTGGCATCAGATGCCCTGTCTCTGCTTGGCTGAAGCCACTGAGGCCTTGCCCCACCCAGTACCCGAGCAGCCCTGGTCAGAGAAAGAAAGGTGTTCTAAGACCTAGTTTTATCAGTGGAAGGAATCTGAGATTTTGTGCTACCTCTGATCTGGAATCTGAAGGAAGCCCAGGGTACTTAGCTCCCTTTGCTCTCTTGGTCTTGGCCCTGTCTGTGGGGCTGGGCTTTAACTCACATCTGGTCCAGCTCTCCTTTCCCAGGGGTCACAGCCTGGCCCTTAGTTGGGCTGGAACTCTTACTTTGCTCCAGGCATTTACTCACGTCTCCCAGAGGACCATGTCGGCCCTTATGCCACCAACCCTTCAGACACTATGTGTTGACCTATTGATCCCTGACCCTCTCCCACCCTGAAGGGCCATCCCGGTGTCCTGGTCACCCGCACACTCAGATGCTGACTCCTTTCCCCCATCAGGACTGAGATCCCAGTGGGCTTTGCACCCTGGACCACACTGGGACTCATCCTCCTCAGCTCCCGATAGGCACTTACCAGCCCACATTGAATTCCACGTGGGCATCAAAGAGCGCCACTACAGGGGCAGTGGCGGCCCTCCAGCCGCTGACCCTGGAGCGGATGAGGCCTTCCTGCTTGCTGTGCCGCACGACCTTGATGAAGCCTGGCTTCTGGCCGTTCACCTTGTCCACATACTCTGTCAACTTCTCCTTCAGCTCCTCTGTGAGGGAGAAAATGCAGTGTTAGCATGATGAAGACGTTCACCCTTCCAGGGTAAGCTGACCCCCAGAGAGAGGCAGGAGGGGACAGTCCCCTCCCCAGGTCTTCCTTGGCATTCCCCAGGATGGCCAGTACAGCTCAGCTTTGAGGAGAAAAACAGAGATGAAAACAGTATTTATTATGCACAGCAACACAAAGAGGGTCACCTGCTTCACACACATGGTGAATTTAACCTTTACAACAGGCCCTTGGGAAAATGCAGTTCCAAAGGTTGGTCAGTTTGTCCAACCCCCCGAAGTTATGAGTGGGAGTTCAGTTCAAGCCAGGTGTAATGACCTCAAAAGCCCCATTCTTTCTCATCTGTTCAGGGTCTTCCTTCTTCCCCAGTGCTCTCCATCAGTCCTTCCCAATCCCCAGAGAAAGCTCCACGTGCAAAGATCATAGCTCAGGACCCAGTCCTTGCCTGGAACTCCATCTTTCCAGGAAGTGGATGATCAAGAGCTGTGTAAGTGGCTGGCATCGATTTGTTGTTGGGTGTCTCTCGGCCTGGCTAAACATCCAATTCCCCTGCATCTTCATAACTGCATATGACCCCGCAGCAGCAGAACAGGGCAGCACGTTCATTGTGCTTTCCATAGCAGCTTAGGCAACACTCTATGGCACCTCCCTCCTCCCAGACAGTGGCCTAAGTGGGCTGCATTCACCCACTTCCAACCGCAGCACCTCCCCAGGACTTGATTTCCAATGGCCCCTCCTCCCATCTCCCCAGCCTGCCCGCGCCCAGGCTCCATGTCAGACCCGGGTGGGCTGAGCCCCACCTGTCCCTTGGTGCCCAGTCTTGGGCCCTGCTGGACAGGCGGCCCGCCAGGAGTGAGGAGAGGGCAGGAGGCAGCGGGCACAGCACCTGGCACACGGTAGGCGCACCTCCTGGCAGGAACACAGGGTCGCAGAAAGAGGACAGCACTTAGAGTCAGCAGCATAGCATTTTAATTCTATTTTCCATGGGATCAGCCTTGTGACCTGTTATGAACCAGTGCTTGATCTCCCTGGGGACGTTCAGATTGAGTGAATGTACTTTGCACATGGGAAGGACATGAATGAGGGGGTGAGGATTAGAGGGCAGACTATTATGGTTTGAATTATTTCTCCCCAAAGGCTTTGGTCTAACCCCAGACTTCAGAACACAACCTTATTTGGAAATAGAATCTTTACAGATTTAATCAAGTTAAGACAGGTCATTAGGTCCTAATTCAATAGGAATAGTGTCCTTATATTAATAAAGGGGGGAAATTTGGACACAGAGACAGACTATACAGAAGGAAGACAGGGTGGAGAGATGCAGAGATGGCCATCTAGCAGCCAAGGAACATCTGAGGGTACCAGAAGCTGGGGAGGAGGCCTGGAACAGATCCCTCCCATCTTCAGAGGGAGCACCTTGATTTTGGACTTCTAGCCTCCAGAACAGTGAGACAATACATTTATTTTGTCACCCAGTCTGGGATGCTTTGTACTCTGCAGGCCCAGGGAACAGATATGGTTGTTATGAGAATTAAATGGGAGTGACACTTGTGAAAAGTGCATAGCACTTTCTCTCCTGTTCACAGTTTCCATCATAGTGGGAGTTATAAAAGCTGGGGGAGCTGACTGTCCCTGGAAATCAAGGCATCCATCTCTGGCTGACAAAGCCCTCTTCACATGCCCTGGTCCAGGGCCACTTCTTCCTGTTCTGGCCTGCCCCCAGCTCCGAAGTCTGCAAGCAGCAAGGCCATGGGAGCCAAATAGGAGATACAGATGTGTGCTGTGGCCTCATACCCAGGAAAACAACAGAGCACGATGGCTACTGCTGGAATTGGTAGCAGGTATTGGTTTCAAGTCTTTTACCCATGATGTTGGCCAAACAAAAGGCTGGGTAAGATGTGGCCCCTAGGCTGCTTTGTGCACCACTGCTTGAGTTACCACTAAGGAGATGAGAAAACTGAATCTGAGGCAAACAAGCTGAGAGGGAGGCAGACTTATGTGCTAGACAAATACTCCCTTGCTCTGTGATCTTGGTCAAGTTCCTGGGAATCCCAAGACCTCAGAGTTAGGACTTGGAAGTTCATTTTGAACCAATTACCCATCTAAGGTTTGAATCCCCTCTGTGGATCCAGATGAGTGATCATCCAGCCCCTACAATGACAGAGAACCCTATACAATCTATTCCAGGTATTAGATTTTTTTCCCCCTTTTACTCTTTAAATGCCACAGTTCCTCAACCTTCCACTCATTTGGGGACCATTGAGGGCAGATCAAGTCCCTCTTCCACATGGCACCCTTTCAGAGCTGAAGACCATCCTTAAGTCCTTGCTGTGAATTTCTTTAGGTCAAATGTCTTTAATTCCTCCTTGTATTTCCTCATCTCTTGTAAGTTCAAGTTCTTTTATCATGCTGAACTTCTCCTAAAAATGTAAGTTTTTCTCTAATGCTTTTAAATTACAAAGCTAGAATTGGCCTATTTTTTTCTGGCACAAACTGAGCTGTATAGACTAGAGGGAACTAATCAGCTCCCTGAATCTAGAATTGAGGTACCCATTAATATCATCACAGCTTAAGGTCACATTAACTCTGCCTACTTTTGACACAAATTGACCTTACTAGAAACATAAACTTAGATTTTCTTCATGTGATGCTGCTGAGTCAGGCCTCCTCCATCCCATCTCTTCATGGATGCAGGTGTGAGTGTATGGATGCAGGTGTGAGTGGATGCACACATGTATGCTTGTGTATGTTCGTATGTGTACTCCAGTGCTCCAAGTCAAAACAAGGATCTTTCATTTACACCCCTTTAATTCAATCTTTTCAAAGATTTACAGCACTTCTCTGAAGTCACAATGTTTTTTCCCCTTGATTCTGTTATCCAATGCTTTGTTATCTAGCTCTACCAGTTTTCCAGCTTCTGCAAAAGTGATGAGCATGTGGCTTTTGTTGTTCAACTCATCCTTTCAAACAGTGTGACCCTTGTCTGGGGCTAGGCTCAGTGGGGGCTGTCAGGCATTCTCATTCAGCCCAGAGAAAATTCAGCTGACTTTTGGGTCACATCAACAGGCTGTGCAGCTCACTCTAGCCAATAAGAAAATGACCCTGTGCTCTCCCACTGACTGGGGAGGCCTGGGGATGTGGCTGTCTCAGTAATGGCAGGAAGCCATTGGTACAGTGGCATAGGTCAGTGTACCCCTTACACATTTACAAGTATTCAAGCATGGTTGCCAGGAGGCCTCTTAAAATACGTACTGTTTCATCATTTCAAAGGTCCACTCTTCATGGATCCAAAAAGGATCTTCATAGATCTTACACAGAGCTCACAAAGCCTGATGTTTGGACTTCTGATGGTGGTCATTAAGTGGTGAGTGCACACAACTTGGAATGAGACTGGGCTAGCACCAAAGGACCCCTCTCCCTGCCCCCAGGGAGGATTGATCCCTGGTCTCCTTCCCCACTCTCAGGTGAGGACACTGCCTGTGGGGACCACTGTTCCTGAGGTGTTGCTGGGACAGGGCTGTCTGTGGTCATTGCCACCAAGTGATGTGCCACGAATCCCGCCTCTCTGAATTCTCATCCTGGGCAGCTGCTTTGCACACTGATTCTCAGCCGACCCTGGGACAACAGAATGCAGCCAGAGGGTCCCTGTGAAAAGTCCAGGCCTAGGCCAGGCCTGCAGCTTTTTCTGCCTTTGCTCACTTGCTGCCCTAGGTAAGGCAGCTGGCCTCCTAGAGGATGAGCAGCCCAGGGAGTCCCAGTCATTTAGGTCATCTCACTGAGGCCCTACAGGTGTGAGTGAGGCTATCTTTTTTTTTTGCCATGTTGTGCAGCATGTGGGATCTTAATTTCCTGAACAGAGATCAAACCTGTTCCCCCTGAAGTGGAAGCACCAAGTCTTAACCACAGGACTGCTAGGGAAGCCCATCCAGGGATATTTTATTTATTTTAAGATTTTTTTTTTTTAATGTGGACCATTTTTTTTTAAAGTCTTTATTGAATTTGCTACAATATTGCTTCTGTTTTATGTTTTGGTTTTTTTGGCCCTGAGGCATGTGGGATCTCATCTTCCTAACTAGGATCACACCTACACCTCCTGCACTGGAAGATGAAGTCTTACCATTGGACTTCCCAGGAAGTCACGTGTATGGCCATCCTGGATCCTTCAACCACCAGTAGATCGCAGTCACATCAGTGATCCTAGCTGACATCATTGAGCAGAGACAAGCTGGGCTTATTACAGAATCATGAGGCAGTGAATGGTTGCTGTTTTAAGCCATGATCTTTTGGGGTGGTTTCCTATACACAAAAACTAATAAAATGGGATCTATTGTCTTGGAACAGTGCTGGGTTTAAAATAAGATTGTGAATTCCTGATGCACAGGAAATGAAACCAGACGCAGAAGAGCCAGCTTAGAAGGTGGCAGCAAGAGATGAGAAGGCTTTGATTTTTGTAGGAGTTGCCTGCTCCTTTGTCCCTCCGAGTTCTGCTAACTGTTAACCAGAATAAAGATTTCTGGTGGACCAACCAGGAAAAAAGATTCTGTTCTGAGTCTGTTGTATCTCAAATATTAGCTATTGATTGGAAGAGAGGATTCCCTTAGCCCCCACCAAACAACTGCTATTAAGCAAATTTTTAAAGGCCTGAAATATCCTGGACAACACTGGTTCAGTCTTGGCAAAGTCCTTTTACTTAATTAGATTTTCATGTTTTCCTTTAAACTTTGCTAACTGCCAAAGCAAGAAAGAACAATATAAAAAACATTTTGACTTGTGCTAGAAAACTGTTGTGTAAGATATTGCCTATTTTATATATACATGGAATACCTCTCAGAACTTAGCTCAAAAAAACATATAAAGAACTTGAGGTTTTTTTTATACTTAAACACAAACACATAACCTGTGATGTCTGCCTTTTTTGTCAAGCCTGCTAGGAAGCTCAGAGACAATATAATGACTAAGCACAGGGTTCTATCAGCATTTTTGCTTCTCTGGTTTTGTTAAAGCTTTAATTTTCAAATTGTGGTCTAAAAGCTGCACGGTCTTTCACCTTTGGTAGCTACTTTGTTTTTAGAAACATCTATAAATAATTTTTATCGTAAGAGCAGGACAGGAGTATAAATGTGGAAAGAAGGGGAAGGCCATCCTTCACGTTTGCTTTCACATGTTGGGAAAGTGGAGGCAGGGAGTCTGCTCTCTGTGACTGTCAGATGTGGACTCAGCGGCAGAGCTGTTAACTCGGCCGCCAGTGTTGACAGAGGAACGCAATGTGCACCCTGCATGGGGCCAGGTGTCCTCCTGCTTCTGTTGCTCCTCAGCCCTCTCCTGCTGTCCACAAATCCCTGCTCTGCTGACCTCGGAACGACCTCTGTTCATCAGCACTCCTGGAAGCCATGCTGATGAAACGACACTCTGCTCTTAGGAGGTCACAGGCCAGTCCCCTCCCTCCCCAGCCCATGCCTCCTCTTGGAGCCAGCTGAGTGCAAGCTGCTATTCTCCCCCTTCAGACTTAGATGCCAAGTGAAAATGCAACACTCACCAGGCTGGTCAGACAGAGCCCTTTCTTCCCTGCCTATATATGCCCCTTGTATTGCTAAATAAAAAGCAATTAGCTCCTCAGAGTCACACTAAAAGAAACATAATGCAAGCTGAACAGAAGTCTGGTACCAGTGGCTGTTAATCTGATTTAAAAACCTAATGAGATACTCTTTATCTCTTGCATAAAGGAAAATAAAGGATCAGGACACTGACGTCCAATGGGGCTTCACTGTGAAAGATGGCCGCACAGGCATCCTTGTAAACCAGCCTGCCCAGCTTTGTCATGGAGAACCAGGTCCGGCTCCTCACCCTTCTCTCAGCGCTCAGACAATCATTTCTCTTGTCTGCTGGAGGTTTGGGAAAAGGAAGAATGAAGGGAGAGGCCACTCATTCATTCATTCAACAAACACTGAGCACTCGCTATGTACCAGCCACTGATCTGGCTGTTATGGCTCTAGCTGTGAATAGGATAGTCCGTACAGAGCTTTCATTCTGCTGGATGTTTAAAAGGCATGTGCTGTAGTCTACACAGAGAGGGGACTGGGTAGAGATGGGGAGAGAGAGGGAGAGAGAAAGGAGGGAGGGAGGAAGAGAGGAGGGAGGGGTGAGAGAGAATGAGGAGCAGGAAAGGGAGAGATTCTCGAAAAAGAACTCTGGGCACTGAGTCAGTGCTCCCCGACACTGAGACTTCCTTCATGACTGGGCCTCCTGAGCCTGAGAAGCAGTGCTTGGAGCAGTGGGTGGGCAGACAGGGGAGCACAGGCTAAAGTTAGAAGATTCTGTTACTTTCCTAGCCCAGTGGTTTTCACCTGGGGGTGATTTTGCCACTTTCTCACCCCTTGAGGGGGTATTTGGCAGTGTCCAGAGACAGTTTTGATGGTCACATCTGGAGAGGGTGCTACAGGCATGCATGCCACTAAACATCCTACAATGCACAGAACAGCCCTCCACAATCAAAAGTTTTCCAGTTCAAAGTGTCAGCAGTGCTGAGTGTGAGAAACCCTGCAGGGCTCTTAATGAACGGAGGTCCCATTCTGGAAATCTGAGCCTGCATGAGTTTTCAAACTGGCAGCTCTGGTCCTACATCTGTATTTCTTTGGTCTGCAAGGCAATCCTGCTTGGCAGCAACTGGCTGGAACCAAGTAGGAGCTGCTCCTATAAAAAGGGCTCAGTAACAGGTATAAACTCCCTATGAGATTCTGACGGGCAGCCAAGA